TTAAGTGGGAATATGTATGACTGTTTATTCTTGCTTTCCCTGTATTTCAAACTTTTATATGAAATATGATTTACTTTTATAATCAGGAATAGTTTAAAGTTATAAAACCAAGGAAACCAAAAAGTATACTGCTTGTCTGTAATCTTGTAATCATTTTTTTGTTGTTGGATTTTTTTTTACTTCTTTTTTCTTGTGGGGAAACAAAAGCTTTAACAAGCAAACTAAATCAAAGGTCCTTAATTTATTAAAGCTAGCTATCCCTTCACATCTGAAATAAATCTGCGTATATTTGAGTTGCTAAAAGATGATGGAGAATATCTGACAGGGTAAAGACCATCTCATTTTCCCCAACATACTGCCTCTCAAACTCTGCTTGCAATTAAACCACCCAAGTTCAATTTTAACTATGATACAAATTAGGTATGTGTTCTGATGTAAGTCTTCCTGCAGCTATGAAGCTCCCCATCACCAGGACACAGAAACAGCAGACAGCTCACCTCAAATGGATTCAAATTAAAGTAGGAGGAACCAGGACGGGTCAATCTTTCAATTTGATTTTTGGACGTTAGAACTGAATCTCTCTTCTCGATTTGTTTCACCTAAAATATAGGGGATAAAAACTTCATTAGTAAAGCTCAATAATAAAGTCTCCATTGTCATCTTAAGTTATGCACTGACATGTTCAGCAAACATTTATTTGTGTGTCTACATGTGCAAAATATTTTGCTAAACACTTCAAGGAATGATTACAATAGCTACCATTTGCTGAATTTTAATAATGTAAAAACTTCACATATTTATTCCTCTCAATCCTATACAGTAGATAATATCACTCCCATTTTGAATAAGGAAACTGAGATTTAGCAAGGAGGTTAACTGACTTGTTCCAATTACCCAACTTGTGAACTAGAATTTTAACCCAAACAGTTATTGACTCCAAAGGAGGCATCAAGAGGGTGCAAAAAAAAATAAGTCACAGTCACCACCTTCACCTTCCAAGAGCTTCCACTCTAATGATGGAATATGTACTTGCATGTGTTCATACTTAGTTTGCAACTTTTTATTTTCAGAAAGGAAAAACAAATTATACTGAAATATATACCAAAAGCAACATAAAAGAAGTAAATGGGGGAGGATCTAAAAGAGAAAAATCCCCGACCTGAAGACGATGCTAAGGAGAACAGGCACCAGGCAGTCCCAGAATGACATCCTTGGTGCCACTGTCAGAACTGGAATGCTATTGGGAATGAATCTCTGGTATGTTACATACCATCTTTATTCTTATGGCCAAAATGAGTTTGCAAACAATTTCAGTAATATAAAAAGCCATTCCTTCTCAATATCTTCCCTCTTCACTCTTTTTAAAAGAACATGCAACTCCCAGCACCTCCCTCATACTATCTTCTCTACCAGACCTATTTTCCTCATAACTCTTACCAGTATCTGACATAATATCATACATCTGTGTGTTTATTGTTTATCCTTCTCTACAGAATGCAAGCTCTATGAAGACAGGATTTTCTCTCTGTTGTTCACTACCACATCTCCATATACACTAGTACATGTCAGGGGTTCCATAAACATTGGTTGAATGATAGTAAGGTCTGTTCTGGGTACTTTTCTCATTCAATTCAAACCAACCAGGACTGCTTCTTTTTTTCCCTTTTTTTTTTTAACCTAAGAGATGGTTAAGTGAAATGAGTTTCACTAAAATTACTGAGTAGTCAGTAGAGATCAACAAATTTTAACACCAGCACATCAACACTTTCAAGTGAATTAGGCATTTAAAAAGGACAGACTATAAAGGATGTGCGAATTTCCATGTTTAAACTTAATACTTTGGAGAAACTACTAAGTAACAAACACTGATACAAATAACAGCTATAAAAGATGAATGTGACTTGGTGCTTAATTTGGGGTAGCTCACAGTCTGATAAAGAGCAATGCCATTCCTCAAATCCATACCAAATAAAAGAGGTCCACCTTCAGCTTTGTTTTAACTCTTAAAAAGATGCTTTTACTTTATTTTTTAAAATGCTTATACTCTTAACTCCTTCAACTCTCATAAAAACTCATTTTAATATTAACTCTCATCTTACAGACCAGAAACTTAGAATCTACAAAATCAATGACTTGAAAGAATTCAATCACAGTCAACTGCCTTGCAGGAATCCAATCCATAGTCCTTTGCCTCCAAATAGCTTGCTTTTCTTTCATTCTTTCATTCATTCACTCAACAACCTTTACTGAGCAACCACTACCCACTAGGCGCTGGATACGCAGCAAGTCAAACGAGGCTCAGACCAAACTTATTCCCATCTTAACAAGATATCAAGCTGTTATTGTTGTAAGACCCAGAACAAATTATTTCACCTCCCTAAACCTCAGGCTTTTCATCTGTAAAACGTAATGCCTACGTGGCATGATGCAGAAAGCCTGGCGTTCACGAATGGCAGAAATAACCACTAATACAACTCATTACAGAAGACTACGAGTAAAGAGCTATTCCGTTTAGAATAAAAATGGGGCCAAGACAGCTAAGTAGCCCTCAGGAAGGCTAGCCTCTGCCAGCCTCTGCCAACCCCCAACTAGGTGGACTTGGGGAACTATAAATACGCGACCAGGCACTTCGTTGGCCGCACTCGCCGTCTACTCGTAAACACCGGACCCTGACCCCTTTTCATCGCTCTACAGATCCCACACCAGCTATGCTGGAGGCGCACACACACCCCACAAGGCCCCCGCTGCCCCTCAGGCCAGACAGGAGTCATCTCCCAATGGTAGAGGCCAGGAGGACCGCTGCCCTCGTCCGCTGGGGAAGTGGGCCCGGGAGAGGTCTCCCCGGTGCCGCTATTCCTCACTCGATGTTCACCTCACTGTAGAAGGTCATAAATGCTTCCTCTGTGCTGCCTCCGCCGCCCGAAGCCCCGCTCTCTTCTGGAGCCGCCATTTCCCCGGCCCAGCCACCACGTGACCCTTCTGCGCAAGCGCCACCTCACGTGATTCCTAATGGCCCGCCTCCCTAGCACCACCCTCTTCTTTGAGACGCCCTCCCTTCTTAAAGTGTTCGTAGCCCAGCCGGACAAGTGCAAACCTAAATACATTTTTTATTAATTGAGCTAAGATGCATTTAACATACAATTAGCTATTTTCAAGTGAACAATTCAGGAGCTTTCAGTACGTTCACACGTTGTTCAACAGCCTGCTTTATCTAGTCCCAAAAAAGATACTTGACACATTACCCCATCTTTCCAACCCCTGGCAACAACTCATCTGTTCTATGGATTTGTCTGTTCTGGACATTTCACATAAATAGAACCATACATTATATGATCTTTCGTGTCTGCCTTCTTTCACTTGCATAATGTTTTAAGGTTCATCCAAGGTAGAGCATGTATCATTATTTCATTAATTTTTATGGCAGAATAATATTCCACTGTGTGTTCATACCACTGTGTTTATTCGTTCATCAGTCAATGGACAGTTGTGTTTCCATCTTTTGGCTATTATGAAATATTGCTGAGAACATGTACATACATATATTTTTTTTGGTACCAGTTTATAATTTGGGGGCAGAAGGGTATATACCTAGAAGTGAAATTGCTGAGTCATATGGTAATTGTATAATTAACTTTCTGGACAACTGCCAAGCTGTTTCCACTGTGGCTGCACCATTTGTATTTCTACCAGCAATATATTAAGTGTTACAGTTTCTCTGTATCTTTACCAACACTTATTATTTTCCTTTTTTTTTAAGTTACAGCCATCCTAGCACCTACATGTATATTTTGTACAAACTCAGTAATACCTTCTACTGAATGCCCAGGCTAGGACATAATCAAGATACTAAAGAGCAGTAACTGAGAACCAGAATGAGAATCTGAAACTGAAATGGTACTTAGATATCATCTAGAAATACATCAAATTATCACTACATAGTGGGTTTATAAGTGATTGTTATTTTAACCTTTTACTTTTGTGTTTTTACAAGTTTTCCCCAACAAACATGAAAATGTGCCCCACAGGCATTCCTTCCTATTTAAGTTATACAAACCAGAGCTGGTATTTTTCCAACCAAAGGGTGATCAATAAAAAGCTCTACAACTTCACTGAAAACAAAGAAGGTATTTGTATAGTCATAAATAAGATAGATAATCTGGCCCAACATCGCACCTAAATAAAAAACTGGGCCGAGAGAGAGAAAATGTAGTAGACAAGGCTATTAACTACTATTGTCTTAGTTACATTTGTTAGATGGCTGAAGGAAGGTCCAAGCAAAGCCTTCCTAGACTCCCACTTAGGCTCTATTCACTTCCTTGCATTACATTGCCGAAGTCCAGTTATCAAGGACATTCAATAACATATTAATGCAATTTATAAATGTTACTCCAGTGCCTACTTGATCAAGGCCCTGATAACTTCAGAAGGTGGAACGTGCAAAGAGAGAGAAAGAGCACAAAACAGGGAGCTATGACAGAATGACTATGGAGGTCAGGGAAGATTTCTTTGAGGTGACATTTAACCTGAGACTTGAGAGTGAAATGTCAATGCAACAAAAGAACACTGACATCTCTCAAGAGGCAGAGACATATACATAGACATAAAATGTCCCACAACCCTAAATAGGGGCATCTTGGATATAGCCCTCCCCCACCCCCAACCCCTATATTACCCATCTTATTGGTGTTTAGTAGTCCAGGAAAGGGAAGGCTTCCTGTGTTTAATAATAACAACTTTAGGATTGGAATCGTGGGGTCAAAGTAGACGCCACACCTCATCCCGAGGGGGTCCAAGAGCCGAAATTTTGGCGGAAAACCCCCTCCTTCCTCCGCCATTATTATTCTCCAGTCCTTTGACCCCTGAGCCCTTGTTCGGGGTTGGCTAAAACTAGGCCCGCCTATAGCTCAGGATTTGCTGTGAACTACAAGAACCCCGCCTCCTCTATCTTATGATTCGCTATTTCCAGGTTCATCCCGCCTCTCCATCGAAAAGATTGGCTGCCTGGCCGTCAGCGCCGTTAGCGCCCACGGAGAGGCTGCCCTGCCGGGGACTGAGAGGTGCTGCGCTGACAACAATGGCAGCCTTGGCGTTGGCAGCGCGGATGCGGCTCGGCGTCGGGGCCGTTAAGGCCCTGGAAGCCCGAGGCTTCGGCTCCGACCGGGTACGCCGGCGGCAGTGTCCGCTGCCCCATCCGTGAGCGCGGACCTCACAGTCCGCTGGGCAGCGTTAACCGATGTTCCGGTCTCTCCACAGTCAGACCGCTCCGACGCGGGGTCGATCCGGGAGGCTGGCGGGGCCTTCGGAAAGAGAGAGCAGGCTGAAGAGGAGCGATTCTTCCGGTGAGGCCTCTGCGGTCCCAAGCCCAGCCCTAGAGCTCCCAGGGCCTTCCAATCCTTCTTAAACTTCCAGTCGTCCCATCCCTCCCTGCGGCGCCCCATCCCCTAACAGAATTCCCATGCCTCCGAACGCAGGACGCCCAACATTCGAGGCCCCTGTTGTTACCGCCGCTAGGGCGCTCCCATTGCCTTGCCTAATCGTCCCAGGGTCCCCAAACCAAACCATTTCAACCTGCAGGTGTCCAGGATTCTCCAACCACGGTTCAGCTCTTACTGGATCATTTACCATCCCCACCTGTGGAATTCTCTCCGGGTCGTGCGAAACACCCCCAAATGCTTCACGGAGTGTCTAGATCCGACCGTCCAATACTTGCAGACCGCCAGAGCCTGACTCTCGGCCCTCACTCACCCATCATCCCTCTACGCTCTTTTTTCCCCAACACGCCTTAGCTTTGAGTGGATTCCCTGACTCTAAAAGCCCTCTCAGCCATTTGTAGACCCACACGCGTATCCCACTTGGCCAGAGTGGGTGGGCCTTAGAACAGGGGGATGCTGCTCCCTGTTGGAAACACACCCCAGCGACTCCTGGAGACTTTCCCCTGCTCCGCCCAGCCCAGCCCAGGCCAGGCCAGCCACTGGGCTGGGCCTATCCTACTCTCTTGCCCAACCTTGAGTTATCTTTTACTGACTTCTGTCCACGGTAGGGATAAGTGTGAAACTAATCTCGTCTCTGCTGCTTCTTTATCTTCACATTTCTGTCCACTCTTGCTCACTCTTAAGAATTATCACCATGGCACCTGCCTTACCAGAGAGCCAAGGCACAGCCCTTAGAGAGCATCTAATTGGGCCCCTACATTTTACAGTTAAGGAAAACTGAGGCCCAGGTGTGGCCCAGCCAACATTTGAATGGTCCCCTCTTGAAATCGACATTAGACTACCCATACAAGAAATCACCCCCCTTTTTTTTCCTCCTTCATTTTGGCTTTCACAGTGGACCGTGAACTTTTCTAGGTAAAGAATGCTCTAGATGAATTGGGATAGGACATGGATGATTGTCCTTTAGCTATATCCCTTTGTGTAGCCCCCTCCGCTTGTTCTTTTTTTTCCCCAAAAAGGTACTCTGTTCTCTAGGTTGTTCCTCTGTTAAGGCACTGGGGACTCCATCACACCTCTCTGGAGTTTCTACTTAAAGAGGGATCTGAAAGGAATACTTCATTAATGATGGAATTCCAGGCATTAGCACCAGGAATCATTTTGGTTGTCTCCTAAAGATGGATACATCTTAAGATGAGGCATTCTTTCTCTAGTGGGGCAGGAGGAGGTAGAAGAGGATAACCAGCCAGATTCCTTTGGGATTGGGACTCCATTCTTCACCTTAGTATTGCAGGTATGCTTAGAGTCTCTTCAGGGTGAAAGATCAGGATTAAACCCAGCACCACTGTGTCCTTGTAGAGCACGGACTAGAGAACAGCTAGCAGCCTTGAAGAAACATCATGAAGATGAGATCACTCATCATACAAAGGAGATGGAGCGTCTGCAAAAAGAAATTGAGCGGCATAAGCAGAAGATCAAGAAGCTAAAACAGCATGATGATGACGATTAAGTTCACATGGTTCCCCAAAGATTGGCTACATGTGTAGACATAGTTCTGGCTCAATATCTGTGTGCTTCCAACAGATAATAATAAATTGTTATCAGTGAACTCTGTCTAATGCCTTCTTCAACTATCTGGAGAAGGGCAAGGGGGTACCCTACTGGACTGCTAAAATGAATCAAATGGTACCTGCAATAGGGAGCTCGAAGGCAAAGCATGGTGTGATTAGTGACAGCTTATGGGCACTGGGAGGGGTATGACTGGGAAAGATCACTAGTCAGAGGTGGTCAGAGAAAGCTTGAAGGATAAACTCCAAAAGCATTAGGTCAAGAGCAGCTTAGAAACCAGGAATTTTGCATTTTTTAAATGGATTAGAGAACACTTCAGACAAACTAGTTATCTTCATTCTAATTATCCTTGTGCAGAGTGAGAGAATTAGAAATCATGTATTTGTGGTCGGTGTCTTGCCAATGGGTTTCAGCCCCTGGCAAGGTTGCTATGGATTCAATGTGACCAAAAAAAATGACAGCAAAACGTTATCGGGGTGAAAGGGTTATACCCAACTTTATTTCCAGGTGGCAGGTCAGTCACTAAAATCCCATCCACTCAGTCTGCATGCAGCAAGCCTGTCTCTGCCTCTGGGCCCATCTGTCCACACAGCTGTCCTCTGGGCCTGTCTGCACAGCTGTCCCACACAGCCGTCCTCCAGGCCTCTCTGCACAGTCATCCCACACAGCCATTCTCTGAGCTTCTGTCCTCAGTGCTGCCACCACTCCAGCCTCTGCTCTGCTCTCCTTTAGCCTTGCAGCCCTGCCACCATGTAACGCTCAGAGCACTGGGCGGAGCTCATATAGAGTCAACAGCCATGTATTGCCCACAGGTGTGCAGTGAGCTAGTCAACCAGGGCCAGGTGAGAATCCTGGCCACAGGAACTCTCATTTTATTCACAGTGGTCAGTACATTGGAGTTGAGACTTGCATCCAGATTTTTTACTCCTAATCCAATTCTGTTCATTGCAGAGAATCAGAATTGTTTCTGACATTATATTTTGCTTCAGTGAGTATGCTCTTGATTCAAATGAGATTTTAAGGCCTTGTCTACCTAAATTATTATACAAATTAGTTGTGTAGCTCCTCTAGGCAAAAAAAATTGAGGTGACAGTTTTGAGCCATTAGGAAATTTTCAGTTCACGGGTCATTTGCCCCAGATTTGTGATGAGTCATTTGTTGCAAGACCCTGTGACACCAAGGCCCTAAGGGCCATTGAATGATAAAGGCTTAGACGAGTCTTTGACCCTGCCCTCCAACACTAGGTAACTTTCCGAAATACTGTCCATGGTGCTCCTGAGGTAGGAGTGCTGAGATTGAAGTAACCAGCAACAAAATGACCTCAAAGATGAAGTGCGAGAAATGCTCACACTAAGTCACATGTCTTTTTTTTTTAACTTTACAGCAGAACAAAATTTGAAAAGTTTAAAAATCAGTGAAGGAATAAGTAACAAACATCTTCCATTTTGCATTTTTGTGACCCCCTAAAAAGAGCATAGAAAACCACCTAAGTTTCTAGATGATAGTGTTTTGTGACACAATTGCCTTATTAGGAGTTAATGTTCCTGAGTTAATTCCTTAATAGGAATGTACCATCTGCTCTTGACATATTTTAAATCAGTCTAATGATTGAAGAAAGCAAAAAGTTAAAACTTTAAAGTGAAGATGAAGAATCATACGGTTGAATTTTTAAAAATAAAATGAATAACTTTTGGAGCAGCCTAATTTAAGACTACCTAAACTATGAAAGTGGTAACTCAGTCTTTTTGTGGTTAATTTTTCTGACATACCATAATGAAAGCAAGATACAAATAATGTTTAAAAATGTGCTTTAAAAATGTTTATATATTTGTTCTTAAACTAAGAACATGTTAAAATCCTAAGATAATTTATTGATGTGAACCAGTAACCACAGCCACACACAGAGCACAGGTCATAAGATTCACCTGGGATACATAAGCATCCTTGGTGGTTCTTAGAATTTCGAAAAGAACTACAGCAGGGGTTCTTTTAAGTGTCCGCAAGCCAGCTGTGTCGGCATCACTTGGGAACTTAACTAGAGTTGCAGGTTCTCATGCCCCATCACAGACTTACTGAAACCACCCAACAATCTACACACAAGCATATCTACAAATTAAAATTCAAAAACAAGTTCCCCCAGGTGATTTCAATGTGCACTGAAGTTTGAGGACCCATGTACTACAAGTAGTTTCCATTAAATTCGTCAGCATTTAGGGACATAGAACACTTTACATAAAGACATTAAGTATAATAACTATACATATTTATGTATAGTTCTTAATATGAGTGCTATTTTAGGATTTAGAAATAAGAGTTACGTTAAGAATTATTCTTGTACAGAACAATAAAATGTTAGAATAAGGCATTCCACAGAATACAATTTGGAAAATGCTACACTGGTTTATGGCATTAGTTAAAATCCTTTTTGTTCACAAGTAATAGAATCCAGTAGTGGCTGGCTTAAGGAGGAGAAAAAGTAATTTATTAGAAGAACAAGGGCTATTGTCTCAAATCTCAAGAATATTTAACAAACAAAACTGGAAAGGCAGGGACCAGAGAAGGTCTGACAACTGCAGGCATAGATTTGTTGAAGCAGCTTCCTAACCATCTGTGTCAGAATTGAGTGCTTTTTTTAAAAAAATAATTTCTATGAAACTTAACACAACAAAGTTATTTGACTATTGCACAACCATTTATATTTATGCAGCACTTTGCAATTATTTGCTCACTAAATCTCATATTTCTGGCAAATAGGTCCCTACCATTCATTACAACCAAAGTAACTGAAGCAGGGAATTTTAATTTTTCAAGGTCACACAACCAGGTTTGTGCTGAGCAAGATTTTCCTTCAGAGCTCCTGCTCCCATAGTCAAGTGTAGTCCAGTGTACTGGTTCAGCTGCCTACGAGCTTCCTCAGTGTGGGACAGGTTTGGGGAAAGATGTGCCTGGACCTCTGTGAAGGGGTGGTAAAGGTAAAAGCTCCCAGAAGTACACATAGAAGTGCCTGCAGTTGGCACTGGCATTGGCATTTGAGCTGCAACATGAACCCCATGGATTTCAATGCTTGCCTATATAATGCAAGCACACATTTGCAAAAGAACCTAGTTTGAGAATTTCACATCAGTAAGTCTAGAGTTAGAGCTCTCAACCCAGGCTGCACATGGAAATACCCAGGGAGCTTTAAAATTAAGCCAATGCCTTAGGATTAATTAAATCAAAATTTCTGGGATTGGGTCTGGGCAAGGGTATTTTCAAAAAGCTCCCCAGGTTTTTCCAATATGTGGTCAGAGCTGAGAATCACTGGTGTAAAGGGTAGTTCCAGATCTGCATATGGTTGGACAGGTTGTTTAATGCACAAGGACAGCTACTGAAGGGGCCAAGGAGAACTGAAATTCAGCCCACCCTCTGCTCACCAAGCAGTGTACTCTAGGGCAGGGGTGGCATCTGTGGAAAAGAGTGACCTTTTTTCTACTTCCCACAGACAACTCTGGCTCATTCCACTACTCTTGAATATTCATCACTATGTATTCTATGTATTCTGTTTTCAGATTTTTTGAATGTATTCATTAAAATTTACATTTAACATCTATTACATGGTGGGTACTTGGTATAATGGGAATACATCTGCAAAATAATCACAGCTACTGTCCCTATGTAACCTACAGCCTAATGGAAAAAAGTGGTTAAACAACAGTATGGGAAGTGTTCTAATGGGGGTGATTGCAGAATGCCGGAGGTCTGGGGGAAGACACTGGACAGGCACTCCACCCAGACCTGGAGCTCGAAGGGACCTCATGATGGAAGAGACATGACAGCAGCCTGGTAAAAGGGAGTGGGTAGAATTCAAGGCTGGGTGACAGCATTTCAAGAAGCCTAACATTGAAAGAGACCATGGGTTATTTGGGAATTGAAAATAGATCAGCCTGTCTGTCTGAAGCAGGGAGGGAATGATGGAAGAGGAGGTAGTGTGGTAGGTTCGACCAGTCTTCCAAGGGCTGGCTGGCTCCTTGTAACTTAATCACTATGTCCCACTCCTCAGTCCTTCCTTCTTTCTATCCTCTCTCCCTCCCTCCTTCCCTTTCTCTCCTCCTTTTAATCACAGTCCTTTATTAGAGCAGCAAACACCAAAACCATTCGTACCCTTCTTCAAGGAATCTTTGTCTTCAAGCACTGGAAAGGAGCAAGAAGCTCAGGAGCAGGCAAAGGAAAAAAGAAGCAGGGGGACACACACGTCACTGCTTCCCTTTGTGCTACCTGGCACAACCTCGCATTTAGCAAATTACACAGAGGCTTCCTTGCTCACCACTCTTTTTTAACTGAAATAAAATTCACTTAATAAAACTAATTATTAACCATTTAAAGTCTAAAACTGTGGTACTTAGAACATTCACAAGTTGTGCAAACATCACACTTCTCTCCCTCCACCCAACAAACTAGTCTGTTCTGTCTCCATTGACTTGCCTATTCTGAATATTTCATATAAATGGTATCATAAAATATGTGACCTTTTTTTTTGAGAGGGCATCTCTCATATTTATTGATCAAATGGTTGTTAACAACAATAAAATTCTGTATAGGGGACTCAATGCACAGTAATTAATCAACCCCAAGCCTAATTCTCATCAGTCTCCAATCTTCTGAAGCATAACGAACAAGTTCTTACATGGTGAACAGTGCAAGGGCAGTCATATCACAGAAACTTTCAGTTTTGATCATGCATCATGAACTATAAACAATCAAGTCAGATATGATTATTCATTTGATTTTTATACTTGATTTATATG